CGAATCCACCACCACCACCACACAATTATCAGGCCCTGGCGGCTCATCATTTGAACCAACTTCAACAGGCTGCTGCTATTCAGCAACAACAGCAGCAGCAGCAGCAGCCACAACCTCAGCAACAGTATCCCATGAACATGCCTGTAGTTTATACTTCATCCGTTGTTGGGCCCCAGGTCAATAATAATAATAATAATAATGATGAAGCAGCAAGCAAACAACATCAGTCTTCTGTCAATAACCACCATAATTCCTCGAGCACTTTAAAGTTGGCCGAATTCGCTTCGAATATGGTTTACCAAATGTGGCATTTTAAAAGACCTTCCTCTGCCTTGGCTAGTCAGTATGGCGTTCCACCTGCATCGAATCCTAATAATATCTCACCAACCGCGAGTCCTCAGTTCAAGAATTTCTGTAATCAGGTACGTCATTCAATCAAATAACAAGATCATCATCATCAAAAATGATTCACCTTTATTTTACTATTTGATGTATTTGATGTTATGTAGGTTCTTCAACAGACTCAGCTCTCAGAATCTGTTGTCCTTTTGTCACTGAAATATGTTCAAAAGTTGGTGAAAAATGGAACAATGTCTACTGGGGATAAGGGATCAGAATATCGTTTATTCACCGTTGCATTGATGTTAGCTAATAAATTTCTTGATGATAATACCTTTACGAACAAAACCTGGTCAGAAGTAACAAATATTAGTGTCAAGGAGCTTAACATTATGGAGTTGGAATTTCTCGATAATTTGGATTTCAAGTTATTCGTGAGCGATACAGAATACAAGCACTGGTTACAATGTCTTAATGAGTATACGCAAAAGCAGCATCAACAGTCGCTTCATCAAAGGAATAAATCCGCTTCGGATGCTTCTTTGAGAAATGCTGCGTTGGTTTCCGAAGCTCAGCAACAAAGGCAACAGCAACAAGATCAACAACAATCTTGGACTCAAAGACCAAATACTTTGCAACAGTCTTATAAATATACCTTGATGTCTATGCCAGAGCCATACCAAGTTATACCAATTTCGATTGTTCATCGTCGCCAGCCAAAAACGCAAACCGCTACCACCACTAGCTCAAATGTAATCCAACCACCCCAACCTCCTATTGGACGTGCTCAGCCACTTGGGCTTACTTCGCCTGTGCGTGCTAAGCAAGTGTTGATTAATTCTTATTATGGTCCGAACCGTAACCCTAATAATAATTCTAGCAATGGATCAACATCTCACCTGCAACACGTCAAAAGACATAGCATGCCAACCATCAATTTGGAAAATATAATTGATCAAGTGCATCAACATCAATCACAACCACCACGTCATCAACAATCACCATCACCTTCTAATTTGAATCCTATTGGTTATCATCTTCCGTCAGCTAAATCAAACTTTGGAGGAAACCATCCATCGGCACAAGGGAATTATGTAAATATCGATTTAAATTCGAAAACAAACGGACAACAATTTCCATCTACTTTTAACAACAACAACAATAGCAACAACAACGGTGTGAATAATCTAATGTCTTCAACCCAGTCATCAATTCAAAGTTCTACAATGCAACAACCCTTACTTCAATCCAAACCAATAAATATCGTTGCTCAACAAAATGCGAATTATAATTATGAACAACAGCAACAGGAGTTGTTTAAGCAACAAAATAACGCTGCGACGATTAATAATTCTCAACATCGTCAGCACATTCAACATCATCGATCAATGCCACTCTTGAACGCGGATTTGACGATAACCCCCGAGTCTAAACCCCCGGGTTATTCTTCGATTTTTCAAAGAAACCCGAATTATTCGACGGCAACATCAACTTCTCCCCCATCATCAGGACAAAATATCTCTGGAAGCTATGGTTCACGATCTTTTTCATTGCCGCCTGTGATCAACAACTTTGCGAATTTGAAAAAGAGCTCGAATAGCACAATCCAATATCGTCAACCGTCCTTGTATTCTGCTTCAACAACGATCCCGATACATTCGCCGGATGATCATTTTAATAGAACGCCACCTTTGCTTCATCAACATAATAATGGATCGCATAAACTTCATAACTCGGGAAATAATTCTTTGTTTGTGAGTAGCAATCCGCCAACTCCTGTGGATCTTCCTATGGTTCCAACGGTACATCCATCCACGTCTCAATATCATTCACTTGTTGGAAACAATGGAAATATTTCAAATTCCAATAATGGTCCTAATCATAATAATAACGCTGGCATAACTTCTGGACAACAATTACCATCCACGAAATACGCTCAGTCACACTACGGATCTGTTCAAGCTCAGCAAGGCATGAACGTAGTAAATGGAATCGGTGGATTTGCTTTCCCTTTCCTTGGATCTCATAATAACAACACTAATAACAGTAATAATCTTCAAATTTCTGTTAAAAAGATGGAAGAAGGCATCGCTGCTAATTCTGGTGGATCTTTTGGTTCGGCCCCCGTTATGATTGCCCCCCCTGGTTTGGGTATGGTTGGTGGGTTTGGTGCCCCAACTGTATCTCTTCAATCTTCATTACGTCGTACACGTCCATCAATCGGAGCCGGAATGGATTATAACAACACGGGTACTAGGATCGGTAATGCTACTGCTACTGGAACGACTAAAGTTGCTGTAAATGCTGAGATGAGCGCCGCTAATATCAATTCGACGGCAGGAAGTGGTTACTTGTCGCTTGTAGTTGACGGAGTTGGAATGGCCTAATAATTGGTCGATCTGTATAATCAGAAGGAAAGAATCAAAAAAATATTATCAATATCATCACATATCTCGAAGGGAAAGAAACGAGGAGCAATTATCTAGAAAATATTTGAAAATAAAGAATTTACTTTTTTGGAGGAATAGGATATATTTTTGCAATATCGAGAAATTCTTTTGATACATCTTTGCGAAATTCTTGTGAGAGGAATGAAGGAGAAAGACTGTGAAGCTGGAATCGATTAATCTTTCGTTTTCGGATGGTCTCTTCTCTCTTGCAATAATACAACAAATTAACAACAATAACAACAATTACTACTATTACTAAATAATAACAATAACAATAACTTGTGACAAGGACAAAAAATGATTTTAAATAGGATCATCCGTGAATTAATACTACTATTATTATTATTATTATTTATTATTATTAGGATGACCAATATTTTTTCATTATTCTTATATTAATTACACTATTTTTTTTACTACTGCTGAGATTAGCAATATACACAGCATATATCATATATGCAAACAACACGATTTTTTTCTTTTCTTTTTATTAATGTATCGATATTTTTTCAGATATGTTCCTTTTTTTTCTTTATTTCTCAACAGAATTTGAAATTTCTTTCCGCATAATTTTATACTACTATCTTCTATATTACTTACTAGTTAGTATTTATCCGACTAGCATATTCAATCAATACTTGGTTTTATATATATGCACATATATAGTTCCCCAGCAGGGAGAATAGGTTAGAAAGATATTAATAATTATGCGTGGTAGAAGGGAAGGGGCTGAGGAGGGAATACGTAAATACCATCACTACCACCAACACTAGTGCTAGTATTTTTAGTATTTTAGTTCGAGTGTTAATGTTCAACTAGCTAGCTAGCTAGATATATGTCAATCTATCTATCTATCTATAACATTTTTTTTCTCATCGAATTTTCCCAGTTCACTATTTTATATTATATTTATATATATATGTGTACGTGCCAATATGCATGTTCCCTTTTTTAGCTATAGAGCTACTACAACTTTTTTACTATTATCTAATGATATATGATATTAAAATTTATATTTTCTCACACTCCTCGAACATTCCACGTGGTTCAATTAATTTATAGAAATCTCTTACTATTTTTCTTTGGGCGGCGGTGATAGATCAATCGATAGATATCTTTCTTTTCTTTCTGGTCATTTATCTAATGTCTGATTGAGGAAATGAATTTGAGATTATAATAAATATTGTTATTTTGTTCTAGGAGTATTTTTTTATGATTTAATTCATCAAGGTCGAAACTCTAAATCACTGATACGTGAGTTAGCCATTCGTCCAGTGATTATTAGCTGAATAGATAAATGAATTGAATAACTATTATTTGAATAATTGAATTTTATATGCTACATGGTACAATATATTCGGAGGCTTTGAATGGGAGGCTATTAATATACAATATAAGCCATTTAAAAAAGCATCTTGTCTTCTTTCTTTTTCATATTGGTAAATGAAAGCCCCTCTTGTTTCAAAGCACCAAATAAAGGGCTCAATGAATCATGCAAATATTTATTGAGAAAAAGGTCCTTTTCACGCGATGTTATTAAATCCTATAACAATTAATAATATAAATACAATATAAATAATAACACGGTTGTAATTGATCGATCTTCTAATTGAACAGTGTTTGTTTTGTGTTCGTGTGTGTGTGTGTGTTTATGTGATAATTGGAGAAAGGGATAAGTTAAAATTGTCATTATTATTACATTAGTCAGGGATTCCTCATTGTATTTGGATGTTTGTTAATGGTTTTGATGCAGTAGGAAGAGGTCATCGACAACCGTCTGAGCTCGTTCTAATTTAGAAAAGTTCGCCGAGACGGACTATTTTTATGTTTGAATTTTACACACATTTTAATTAATTAATATTTCTAAAAATGAATATAAAAAATCATATGATCACCTTTTTCAAATCGGATAAAAGTGACAAACCCTTCCGATACATTTCCATTGTTTTTTCCTTTTCTGGTATTTCTATGAATACAAAAAAATGCCATCAACCATTAATCTCTCCTTCACACTCTCAAAATAAAGAAATTCAATTACCAAACATATTCTGATCATCGTCATTATCATCACTATCCATCGAACATGCGTCCACACGATCCACAATAGACGACTGTCGTCTCATCGCATCTGCCAACAATAGTTTAGCTTGTTCCGGAATCACGCGACGTCGATTGGTAATGCGTACCAGCATTTCGTAGTACTCAAGTTCTTTTTCTTGGACGGCATCGTTTAGGCGTTCATCGAAAGGTAGGGTTTCTTTTTTAATTAATTAGTCAATTAATTAGGCATGCAGCGCGTGAGAGAGATGGAAAATCAACCTTTTTTTTTCTTTGACATTAAGGATGAGAAGAAAGTGTGCTCATATAAAACGCACCCTCTTGTGATTCAACAGCTTCATTGTAATCAATTCCATTAATTTGTGTATTGTAAGAGACATATTTGAATAATTTATTAATCCACTAAATTTAAAAGAATGTGTATAATGATATCCTCAAAAAAAGAATAAACGAAAAGAACTTTTGTAAAGACAACCACACCCACACAGGCTATACCTTTTCCACGCACTTCGAGACAGCCTCAAAAGTCTCGGGGTCGTTACCTACACCCGACGTCTCTTTAATTGTCCCTCTCGACGCTTCCAATACACAACTTTTGATGTATTCGAAGTCTTCAAGTGAATCTAGTTGTAATTTCATAAATTCGTTTTCCATCTTCTTTGCTAGAAGTAGGTTTGGGTCAATTTGATAGTTTAAATGGGCTTGAACTGTGGGTAATTATGATATATATATGATCAAACCAAAATTTATTACTTTAAACGCGTCGAAACTGATTATCGTTGTGCGACTTTTGGATCGATATATATCACTTAACGCGCATCAATCAGGATTATTGACATCATCATGATTATGAGCTTACCATAAATACGCGCGCCTATTGTTGTATCGTATTAACTTTGTATTCTAATAAATTCAGTAAGCAATGACTGAGTTCGCAACTCATAAGGAAGAGCGGCAACAAGCTCACGATAGTGAGCAACATCATATCTTAGTTGATACGGCCGCCGTGCCTCAACAGAGTAGTAATAACGAAGATAATAATATTTCGTTGGAGGAGAACCTAAAGACAACAACTATACCACTCAAAAACACGGTCATTCTTTCAGAGGAATTGCCACAAGAAGACATGGGCCACGAAAAAGAAGAGGAACAGAAGATTAATGGACGCAACGTTGAACGAGATACTGATCACGATGGAGAAGGGGAGAAAATCGGCTACAGCGCTGAGAGTGACAGTAACGATAAAATCGGCTACAGCGGTGAGAGTGACAATAGCGACCTGGAACATGATAATACCACTACTACTACTCCTCAAAAGTCGCCCCTTATTAGCCCCACAAATTGCGCCTCAGCCGAGACAGTATTTACCATGTTGAGGGAGAAAATTGTAGTGGATGAAGACGGTGAGAAAGAACATCATACCGCCACCGAGACTGTCTCTCTCCAAGAAAAATTCGAGGTTCAAAACGATATAATTGTCGAATCTATTGACATGAAGAAAGTAACCGAGATTGATGGCGGGGAAGTTGACGAAAAGCTCACATCGAATATCACGGTTATCTCAACTCCCGAGAAGAAAACCACCATTGAAAAAGCAGAAAAAACCTCATTTAACGAAAACGTCACAGACACACTTGCCTATGTAAAAAAAGTCGTTGAAGAAATTCCTGCGCATGAGGTGACCGTTCAATTAAAGTCCACTAATGAGAAAATTATCGATACCGACAAATATCACACGGTGGTTGAGAAAGTGACAATAAAGGATTCAATTAAAGATGATGTCGGAATAGAAACGGTCAAGGTCGAGAAAACCAAAATTGATCATAATCCAGTGACAGATGAGATAACTATTAAAAAAGAGCACAACAAACAGAGCATGATTGAAACACCTGATCGTGTAGTCACTTTTACTGAGGTCTTTTCCGAAGATGAAACTGAAGTGATTAATGATGCGGATGATTCTATTGATGACGAAGAAAATCCATATGAGAATACAGAATCAAAATTACTTGATTTCGAAATAGTTGCAAAATCCATGAAGAGTGAATTTTCCATAGGAGGGGAGGAGGAGGAAATAAAGAAGGAAATAAAAGAGGAACAAGAAGGCGGCCCTGAAATAAAGAAGGAAATAAAAGAGGAGCAAGAAGGCGGCCCTGAAACGCCTTCACATGTTCAGCACGATTCGCATATATTGTTTCCTGAAAGGCCACCTCAAGCTAGCCCATTAGCACCTCGAAATCCATCTAATGAAAATAATTACAACGACGACAATGACGACTACAATGATGATGATGATGATGATGATGATGATGATGATGATGACGATGACAAGGAAGATGACCCAGAAATTATGCAAAACCTCCTAGAAATTCAAAGAAAGATGGACGAATTGAAGAACCAAACGGAATCGATATTCGAAGAATCCAATTATTTACGTCAAAGGGTCGCTGTTGCGAATCCACTTGATGAAGGTAAGCAGCAGCAGTTTATTCTACATCCATAAAGAGTGTAATTAATATTATTTTGTTTAATATTCTAATAGAAGGAGAATTGTCGACTCCCCCTGTATTCCGAGCCCAGACTTTACTTGACTCCAGGTCACATTCTCCTTACTCAATCATGAGCGATGTAGTCGATTCAATGTTCAATCCAGGATTCAACCGCAACGTCGTCCTCTTTTTGAATATTATTTTCTTGCTACTCTTTGCAAGTTTGATTTTCCTAATAATCGTAACCGATTATAATGCACATGTTATCGCATTTCTGGGTCTCTCGTTTTGCTTATTCATTGCTACTAATTGGTAAGTGAGGCGTTTGTCATTTATAAAGCCATAAAATTAAACTTTTTTTTAATTATTGTAAAGGTTCGTTGCTTCTGTTGCTAAAGCACAGATTGAAGAATCAAAGATTGTAGTCGCTCCCGCTGGATCGACTGAAAAACAGGAATGAGAATACACTTGATTTGATTATCATAAATAATATCATTAGTATAATATTCTATATTTTATTATATTTTATTATAATTACTACAACATCGGACATTTGCTTTTCATTTTCTGCATATTAAAATAAGAGAGTTTCTTGATTCAAAAAATAATTGATAAATTTGTATTTCATGCTTCGGATAAACCTGGAAGGGAAATTCATATACCTATTTTGTAGATTGATTGGTCAGCCATCATTGTTGTAATAATCTGACAAATACAAATGATTATATCTTCCAAAAAAATACTAAATTGGGTTAGATTATGATTTTAGAACATAATTTCATGCGTGATAATCAATTGAATATTTAAAGAGCAAGGTAAAATTTGTTTCACTCAAATCCCCAAACCGCGTTTTCTTTACCAATACCATTATTACACTATTTGCTGCCAATAAAAGTAATCGAGTGTAAAAATGTCTGTTTCTGTTCTTGATCAAATTAAACAATTTACCACTATCGTTTCTGATACTGGTGATTTCGAATGTACGTTTCGTTTTGCCATGATAACTTTGTTTTTCATATTAAAATTATCAAATTATGAAAAGAAAACCTTGATAACTTAAATAATTTGAATACTATTCTATACCGGTTATTATTTATTACGCGAAAAATGTTAATTTAGATTAATGCATTAACGTATACGTTAATTCTATTTTTTAGCAATTGCCCAATATAAGCCTCAAGATGCAACTACTAATCCGTCGCTTATCTTGGCTGCCTCGCAAAATTCCCATTACGCGCCTTTAATTGATCGGGCAATCGAGTATGCTAAAAATAAAGGGGGGTATGTGCAACCTATAATAATGATGATACGCATTGGTTCCATTTTATAAACCATTATGAGTTCTAAAAAAAAAACTGTAGAAATATCGACGATCAAGTCGAATTGGCTTTAGACAAATTGGTAAGTTTTACTTCAATTAAAAAAATAATATTAAGATCGAATTTCTCATTAAGTAACCCAAAAATTCATATAAATTATCAAAAAGTTGATCAACTTTGGCTCCGAAATTCTCAAAATTATCCCCGGTCGCGTCTCCACAGAAGTCGACGCCAGACTTTCATTCGACAAGGAGGCCACGATCGCAAAAGCACGACACCTGATCAATCTCTACAAAGAAATTGGGATCGACAGTTCACGCGTGTTGATCAAAATCGCTTCTACATGGGAAGGAATTCAAGCAGCGAAACAACTGGAAACGGAGGGAATTCATTGTAATCTGACATTATTGTTTTCGTTTCCACAGGTAATTAATCTTTCAAGGTGACTCGTGTAACTTCTTTGTACATAAAGATACGACTGACATATTATGTTCCATTCTTCTCAAAATTAATAATATTACCAACAATAGGCGGTGGCATGCGCTGAATCAGGCGTTACCCTCATCTCACCGTTTGTCGGCCGTATCCTCGATTGGTACAAGAAAAGCACAGGTAAAGATTACGCGGCGCACGAAGACCCGGGTGTTCAGTCCGTCAAGCGTATCTACAACTACTACAAAAACAACGGCTACAAAACCATCGTAATGGGTGCTTCATTTCGAAACACGGGTGAGATAGAGGAATTGGCTGGTGTTGATTTCTTGACGATTAGTCCTGCGTTGTTGAAGCAATTGCAACAGGATACCAAACAAGTTACCCGTAAATTGAGTCCTGAAATTGGTATTTATCATCCAAGATTCTTTTTTTTTTTTGGTATGTGAAATTTTGATTCAAATTTTATTAAAATCCTTGTTTTGTTTGTTTTGATTGATTGCTCGCACGCAAAAAGCTAAAGCACAATCCGAGCCTAAAGTTTCGTATGATGAAAAGACCTTCAGATGGGAATTGAACGAAGATGCGATGGCCACTGAGAAATTGGCTGAGGGCATTCGAAAGTTTGCAGAAGATGCTGTGAAATTAAAAAACCAACTTAAGCAACGACTATCGTAAAAATGTTGTATATCTAATTTACCATTTTGCTATAGGTGTATCATCATTTATCATCACATTTACATAGTTTAAGTATTAGCGTTATTCTGTAATGTTATCAACAAACAAAATTTTATTTATAGTTTTATTCTGTTTATCATAATTCACCAGAGTAAAAGATAAAAATTTATATACTTTATTTGATACGTGGATGGAATGTCTTTATTAGTTGCATCAGCCATAAAAAACGATGACCGCTATCTTTTATTGAAAATGTACATATGTGCAATGTTTACTAGTCGAAAGTGAAAATGTCTTTAGATCTTTGATTTTTTTTTTGAAAGAACAAAATGTAATCTATGTCAATCATAATAATGAATGATAGCAAGATTTGAAATAAAGATTGTTTGTTTTAGAATGTTCCAGGAATATATAAGCCCCTAGTGAATTATGTATGATATTATAATTTAATCTTGTGAAAATGAATGTATATGATTGAATAGACGATTCCATAAATAATATTTTCAATAATGTTTCTTTTTCTATATATACACGAAGAGCAAAGAACAATTTCAAACTACTCATTCAACCAACGATGCTGTTTAATTTGATCCAACGTAGCTCTCCTTTTAGGATTACTCTGTAATATCATCTTAACTAGGTCTTTAGCCTCCTCACTTATGGTGGCACGACGACCAGACTCCTTTTCCGGTTTCGGAAATTTGTAATTAGCCTGCGCAATCTTATAATAGAATTGTCGTTTTGTCTGTCCAGGCTCCAAATCAAACGGCAGATAACCGACTAACAACACATACAATATGATTCCTAATGACCATATGTCGGTCTGACGTCCATCATATTTGCCATTTATTAGTAGTTCCGGAGCGGCGTACTCTTCAGACCCGCATCGTGTTGTTAGGATAGGTGAGGACGGGTCTATGAATCGGGCCAACCCGAAATCGGTCAGTTTTATTATTGGGCCAGTTGGAGATGGATAAAGCTCGGTGAGGAGGATATTTTCCAGTTTTAGATCACGGTGTATGATGTTGTTGCCGTGAAGATATGCAACCACGTCTACAAGTTGTAAAAATATCCGTTTAGCGTCTGTTTCGGTCGTTTGTTCATAGTTTTTACAAACGTGGTCGAATAATTCTCCGCCTAATACATATTCCATGACAAGACATAAGTGAGTTGGCGTGTCGACTGTGTCGTGTAAACGTACAATGTTAGGATGATCCATGAGCTATGAATTTAAAATTAATTAATTAATTAATTAATTAATTAATCAATTAAACGATTATATAATAATAATGATAATAATTGTACCTTTAATAGTTCAACTTCACGTGATACGCTCGATTTTATTCGATCATCAGTTTCTATTCCCTCTGTGGGTATCATCTTCAAGGCGAATTTCTCGCCAGACTTTAAATCAATTGCGAGTTTAACCTCCGAGAAAGATCCTTTACCAATTGGTTTGATCACTGCATAATGCCCGATAATTTGAGTGGACTTTGGTAATCCCAATTTCGCCAGCTGCTGTTGCTCTATATAGAAGGTGAGAGTAGCCTGATTTTTATTATTAGCATATTCTAAATTGGAAACATCAGGACTTGGCAGGGTTGCTAGCCCATCCAATGATTCTTTACGAAGTAATGGTTGATTTTTTGACTTATTGTTGTTCTGGTTATTGGTAATCTGATTGTGATTGACAATGGTTGACTTGTCGTTGGCAGGAAAGGTTGTGGTTAGCCTCGGAGGTTGAGGCTTTATCATCGTGGGCGTGGGTGGAACTACCGTGATATCTATTAAAGGTGCGGTTAAGTTATGAGATTCGATAGGCATATTATTCTCTTCGTTCCCCCTCCCTTCTCGCTGGGAAGATGATGATGGCGATGATGAGATTTCATTTCGAAGATTACTTTGATAATCAGGCGTATGATTTTGGTGGTGGAGATGATGATGATGATGATGATGATGATTAGATCGAACTTTTTCTATTGCATCAGGACTTGAAAGTCTCCGCGTGTATAATGATGGACGTGATAGATCAATTGCCGTTGGTGATGACGATACACTAATGCCAACGTTGGCATTACTGTTAATGCCATTAGCGACACCTGGATGATGATCTGATAACGGAGTGAATCTTTGTGAGGAAGTTAAGCCTTGATGCGTGTTACTTCGCATGTGACGTTTGGGTGGTCGTGCTTGAATTGGCGGCGTATTCAATGGCGAATTCCTGACCGGTGATTCAATCGACATTTGCGCAGTCTCCAACATTTGGGCCTGTTTGTTGGGCAAGAAAAGTAAGGAAATGGCTTTACGGTCTGAGTGAAATAATAAATTTCCTCGCTTTTTTATGCTTTCTTTCCAATTGGTAAATTGAAGTTAATATTCGATTCTCGCCAAGAAGCCGAGTAGAAGTGGGAATTGGTAATGAATTTTTAAATTTTCTGTCACTTTCTTGTATGTTATTTTCTTTTCTTACGCTAATAAAGATTTTTTTACCAGAAAAAAATTTATTTAAAGTTGCAAAGAAAAAAAATATCACGATAACGAAGTACACGCCTTCTATTGTACAAAGACCTTTATATATGTTTATAGATAATGTAATAATATATTATTGTATATCAATTATATAATATTTATAATATTTAATATAAGAAAAAAAAATAAAATATATAAGAGATAATCAGAATAGCACTAGGGCGAGTCTTCGTTACAAGCAGGTGTGATGTGGAAATAATGATGTTATAATATATACGTATATTGAATTGATATATACTAATATTGTTGTTGTTGTTGTTGTTGTATCATAGTGGTATGTTTATTATGTACAGGATTTCTAGTTTTATGTATTCTATTGTTTTTTGGTTCCCGTACCCCGTTTTCTCTCTCTCTCTCTCTCTCTCTCTTTCTCTCTCACTCTCACTCTCACCCTCCCACATTTCTTTACTAATTTCTTCTTTCCATTGTTATGATAAAAATTTAGAATGAACTGATAATAGTAATCATAATGAATAATACTGGATAAGGTGTTGATGTACAAGTATCGTCGTCGTTATTCATTCTTTATTTTATACATTGTTTATTTGTTGATTTGTTATATATTTATTTATATTGTCTTCTATTCACTATAGAAATTAGAAGTTCGACGTAAACGTTCTTTACTAACTATTCGGTGAAAAGGCAGTATAGTATAGTATGAATCTGATACCCGGCTGTGATGCGATGCTTGACAATGTTTCGTGATCGATGCTTAGTGAATGATTGGGTGTCATGTGGTTTTGATAAATCGATGAATTTGATTGGGAATTAAAACAATGAAAAACATGAATTCATACCAATTTTTCAACAAAAAAAACAGTTATGTATATGCGTGTATGTAATTGTAATCGGAGAAATAAAAAAGCCCCCATTCCCATTTTATTTTGCTCATCCATCCACCCATTCATTTGTCAATGTGACATTTTGACTGGGTGATGATATTCTTACCCCCTCGTGAATAAATTTTTAAAATGATTGTTTGATTGTGTGGTTTATTGATTTGCTATGAATTGATGAATCCATTCACCTTTTTTTGGGTCGAATTGTTTCTTTGAGATTTGGCGATACATCTAACATCGTCATTATGATCGATCAACTCATCGACTCTATTAGTTTTAGTTTCATTTGGCTTACCCGTGACATACTCGAGTTCAGCGAGTACAGGACCCTTGAAATTATCTGTGGTTAGTTACATCACTCTTTGCATACTTATTTGTCTCTTGCTTTATCAACAAAAATGTAATTTTACGCCACGCGCGAACCCTTTTTCTGTGACGGGCAAAAAATAAGAATCGGTCCGTTTATTTTATTTATGTGAATTCGCTGAAGAAGTTAATATTATCGCACGTTTTTCAAACAAGCTAAACTAAACCAGTCACGCACATGTAATCAATCAATGTTGTCATTGGAATATAAATCACCTGATCAAATATCGGCCTTATTTGGTTATTGTTTTTGAAACTAAGATCCATATGTTGAGGTTATGAAACCGGTTTTTCCAATCGTTATCGTTATTGTAATAACAAGGCGTTTAAACCGAAGCCAAAAAACCTTTAAAAATTCTTATCGAGGCAGGTTTCCCATCACCGTTCCTGAAACAACTTCGATTTATGCAGGTTTAATTTATTGTTTCGTTTTTAACGGGGGCTTACTGTATAGGAGGAACCTCGTCCACCGGGCACTATCTATGCATCATACATCACTAAATATTAATACTAAAATTGGCGCAGCACATGCTGTATTACTAAGAAGATTAGGAAAACTCTGGGACAGCTAAATTTATTGAATTTTAGTATTTTACTTCACTCAATAATTTTACTGCGTGAAGAATGAATTTACGCAGTAACGAAACTTTTAATCCCAGATTAGGATAAGGATCGTCAAAAACAAAACCAACAATATATATGGCTCGTGAAATCCGAAAAGGAAAATAAAATATCCGTAGTATTTACGTAATAATCACATGTATTTGGTATAAGTGTCATCAAGGGTTTTCCTTGTTTTCCTCGGCATCCAAATTTCCTATCCCATCCAAACTTATAGTGTTCTCGCGAATAAGAAAAATTACTTTGTTAAATTGCGTGTTCAAAAATCGATACTTTCTTTATTCGGAGACCAGCATCTAATGTTATATCCATCACCTGAGAGATTCTTTTGCCCCAAGATTTTATGCCACTTATTTTTTTGTGCTCATCTTAGTTTTGATAAAGTTTAGTATTCAAATGAATTTAGCAGGTGTCAACCCTTATGCTTACCAAAAAGGTCTATTGATTGAGTCCACTTGTTACTGGGGCTTTTGTTTCTCTCGTAAAGAATATTCTCATTACCAATATGAGACTTTTTGTTAGTCTTACTACTAACTTCATCCTGATTGTGGCCCAACATTACTTGTTATTGTCGTTATGTGAAAAATCTTCGTTTGTGTCAATCATAAATTAATACTATAGTCACAAATAAAGTTTCCATTATCTATACGTGAAAATTTTCCTGCGCGCGTAAACATTAATAGTCAAAAAATTGGCGTCTCGAAAGTGAAAAAAAATTATCACCAAAAATTACATTATTATTATTATGCCAATTTGTGCTTTTTATGGGTCCTCTTTATCTTATCTTCAAAGATAGATAACATAAAAGATAATTCTATAAACCAAATAATTGTATCGGAATAAAAATGGATACATGAATTTTATACCGATACATCTTGTTTCGATTAAGATGAAGCTACCAGCAAAATACCGTATAAACTACCCGGGGCCTGTTACATTTACCAAAAATTTACTTAGAAAAACTATGTAATAAAAAAAGGGGAGGATCTTTTATGGGGGAGTAGTTTATGCGGCAAATTACGATATTCGTCTTGACTAGACTAATCTATTGTTACATATTTTACCCCTAGACCCTTTCCCAGTTCTAGCTATTATGAAGCGAAGGAATTCGACCTCAATATATTCACAACCGCTCACTTTTTTTCTGAAGATGCGACTGTGAATGCCGATTTTAAATTTGGACCAATAAATCGCAAATCACAAATCTCTAAGTAGCGTAAAACTTTCAACCCTATCTTTCTATATAATTACTGGTGTTTTACACCGGTGTGAAATATAAATTTTGTTAGCACTAATTTTCATCTTAGCAAAGTAGCTCTCGATAAAAGAAAGTTTTATCAATGTGATCACGTGCCAATCAAAATTTGAGACTAAGAGATATTAATTAAAAGTGATGCTGATTCAATGTATCTTGAGCTCATGGAACAGAAGTAGGAAAATCTGACTTTTCATGTTGATGTATAGTTTATTTTTCAGAAAAATTTATTAAAGAAATTTTTGATTTAAAATAATAAATTCTTAATTAGATATTAATTAGAATCTAACGTTAAGTCCAGAATGGATTACGATATGGAATTTAAACAATGGTGATCAGCAAATTATCGATCGGACAAGATACCGTAATTCGCCATGGTATCCCTTTTTTATTTTATTAATTAACTGTGCACGTGAAATGTAAGTATTTTGCACGTTCCTTTTGTTTTGTTAAGAAAATTCCATTTTCTTAATTATCAATGTTAAGATTTTTACTCTGGCATATTCAGTGAAATATTTCCGTACAGTATAACTGGTATCAATATTCTCTTTAAAGCTCTAAAATTTTCAAGTTTGATCTTTTGAATTAATTCATATTACAGATTTTTCAATTATTAACGTATTGAATGGTTTATTAAAAAAACATTTTAATGATTGATTAAAATAAAAAAACTTCTTGTAAAACTAAAATTATTATTCTCTTGTTCATAACGATAATAATTAATATCTAATAATTATAAAATATTATACAAATATCCAATTATGTGTCTTTGTTTCTTGATATGTAAAATTTATTTATTAATTCTATATAAGAATGCACCACTAATATATAGTGTTTTGTGATGATGATCGTTTTTTATGAAAATAAGAACGATTATTAAAATTTATTTCTTTTAATAGTTTTCTTTTTAATTGCTCTTATTACTATTTGTAATTTTATTATTGCTATTTCAAAAAATAATAGTAATAATAGTATTAGAATGATGACGATAAAAAATTACATCCATCTTCTTTTTTTTAAATACTTAATCTGGTTCCATAAATATACAAATCAACTATTTACCATAACTCTCTAAACAATTTTTGTAATACTATTTCCTTTCTCGTTTTCCGTAACTTCTATTACTGTGCCAATATCTGAAGTTGTATTAACACGTGTATTATCATTATCATCATTACTAATGCTGTTGCGATTAGCATTTTTAGAATCTTCATCATTAGAATAAAATAATTGTCCAACATTAACAGCCCCCAAAAAAATCAACGATATCAACTCTGGCACCGCTTCAAACACGTAAAAGACCCATTGTTCTCGATTTACGTTATCAGTCGAGGTCGAAAAACTCGATATCACTTTATACACCAACTCCAGTAACAATAATGAAGTCGCAAAATACAAGACCGCAATCAAACGCGTCTTTTGACTGCTCGATATTTCCGCGCGATATTTTACTGCGTAGAAAGTCGTCATTATCAATAAAAATCCAACCAACGTCGTGAATCCGATCGTCGAGATTTTAGTACAGTTACGACCAGCATTGAACTCTTCTGTCGACTCTCTATCCCCGTATTCTCTTGTCACGCCGATTATGCCAATTATTGAGAATACTGGAGGCAGGTAATTTATAAGGCTTATTAGTCGTAATATTCTTTCTTCTTTTCTCAAGAATTGTGGTATCGAAACGATTAAATCCTTGAATAGTATGTAAAACGATTGGCAGACTAAGAAGAAACCACCAGCCAGAAATAGATTCGAAGCCATCGCGAATCCTGTGGAGAAATTGTTTTCCGCCCACGCGCAACGAAATATGAATGCCAATGTACGCGTTAATGAAAAGCTAAATAAAAAAATACATGCTATCCATCGTCGTCTTGTTTTTTGAAATGTTCGGTAAAGATGCAGCATTGTTATTACCGCGAAAAATATTGTAAACAAGACTGAGGGTACAAGTGTTGGTGATTTGATTCCAAGAAACGATGTTGGGGCATTTATAACTGTTTTATTTGATGACATGTTTCTATTTATCTTTCGTCAGAATAATTAGAATCGTCGTTATTTGTTGTGTTGTGTCTTGTCTTTAGCAGGAAAAAGTCGAGGAAAAAGAGGAGAATAAAGACAAAAAATATAAATATAGACGATTAAATAAAAGTTACAAGTTGCTTCTCATTATCTCCGCTGCTAAACTCTTTTTATGCTCATATATTTTAGGACAAATCTTGTTCTTCTAGGTTTTAACTTTTCTTTGCTTTAGTGTTTCGTTTTCTTTGATTATTTGAGAAAATGACGAGAATGTTCATTAAGTAAAAAATTAGAATTTAAAAATCCTTGGCATCAATTATATCCAACAATTGGGAATTTATATAAAATTATGCATACATATCGGGATTCAATCGTAATATACTTTAATAAACAAACAATAGTGATGGGAATTAATAAACTGACTATAACATTTTTATCATTTCATAGCTGATCAAAAATCCGGTTTTACCATGAATTTCCTTCCAGAGAGAAAAATTAAAATTCGTGCCAAGAAAATTTATAACGCACGATAATAATCTTTTTCTTATAATGACATAAGGAATGCCAAGATTTTTTGTCTCACACACATAACACGCAGAACACAGTGAAAATAAGATGAAAGGAGTGCCAAGAAAATTTAATGTTGTACAGACAAACAGACTTACATACTTTATGAAATCACGTGCATAACTTCTTTTGCATCCCTATATTAATGTCCATTATGCCAAGTTACAAAATTCGTAATTCGTTGTTATATGGTGCGGGACGTCTATTCTTTACAATCACGTGACCAAGGATTGGAATCTTTAAATCTCTAAAACTTTACAGATATTATTTTTTACTTCATAATAAGTATCGGTCAGATTTTAAAAACGCGAATAATACGACAGACACATACGCCATCCCCCTTTCTGGATACAGAACTTTTGTAACACTTGACAGTGTTCGATCACCACCTCGCCCGAAGGCATCCCAATTGCTCCTGAGCCAAGCGTTTTCACATGTATTCTATTGTTTGCGATAGAATTTTAAATATAATAATAAAGAAAAAAATAGTTTTTACGATAGAGCTTCTTAAAATGTTTTAGGGATCTAATATTTTGTCACGTGATTATCTAGTAAATGTTCTGTGCACGTGATTTTTGAGGTAAACCAATCAATAAGAAATATAACATTTCGATTATGATTAGGATTAGGACTAGAGTCAGAGTAGATTATATCGTGCCTGTTTATATAGTAAATTCACAAGGAATATTTTTTGTTAGAACACAAAGTTATTTTTTCATTTTCCGTTACACATTGATCTTGCATTTGATTGGTTTACCTCTTAAGAAATCACGTGCACAGGACATTTTTTTCGGGTATCGAAGATTTATTATGAGCCTTAATGTTATACCGAGAGTCCATATATCGAACGTATCCTCTTTATTCTCTTAGCATTTGGTTACAGTTAGAATGAGGGTTAAATGTTAAGATTATGTCAAACAACAAATGTACATGTAAAATTTCACAAGAAGCATTTTTGTTACAGTTTCATAGGCAATGTATATAAGCACTTGATTTTATTCGCATTGTCGATGTTTTGTTATACATATCGATATCTAAAGCAGTTTTTATAAAAACATGTGAATTAAAATCTAATAGTTAATTAAAATAAAAAAAACTCAACTCATTTTTATACTTCGTATTTACGTCGACGCGTTAAAGATCTTCACGAGGGTCGGAATTATCGTTTCTGATTGTTCAGAGCCAATTATCAAGAACAAGTATGTGCAAAGGCTTTCGAAAAAAGTATTGCCATACTAGCCAATATTCCGTTTGTGACTTTCATATCCATTGGATAACTCATAATATAAATAATACATATTTGATTCTAACAATAGGATACTTGCCCGATGTCCGGTTATTTGAAGTAATCTTGATGTACTTAGAAAATACGTGAAAGATAACAACTTTTATGCACTGTCTCATTTAAGAAATATTGGACAAAATCATCAATTCACTCAACATTTTTTGAATTCTCAAAAAAAAAACTCTCAGTCTTCTTGGGAAAGTACATTTAAGCGGTCTTTGATATATATTTCTCATCCTAGTTAATTATTATTATAATATCCGCCGATATTACACACAATTCCCCTCTCCGTATCATCTACCTCGACCATTGAATTGTTACCTTATGCTATCAGTTCGCATGCAAAGAACTTACAATTTTAAACAGGATGACAAAAAATTATCTTACAATCAGTGTTGTATCGGAACAGTTAAAAAAATACGAATATTAGGACACGAAATTGTTATGCCAGAGACAGCAAGAGCTATGTAAGTTAAGAGAATAATATTTTAGTAAAAACACTATTAAATACCGCTCTAAACCGGTTATTTAGAATCGGATTGAACTGAACCGAACCGAACCGAACCGCCCATCCCTACTAAAGAATAGTGATGTGGATTAATAGTCTGCTATAATAAGGAATGAAGCGAATGTACAATAAACTATCACCAATGGATTACGATAATCGTAATGTGCCCAATTGATAAGTGATACATTTTGTGCATTTGATAAACTTTCTTGGCGAAAACGAAGATCATCATATGCATGATTTTGATTTTGTTATTGTCTATTTCTAATTCTTTATGATTTTTTTGTTCCTTATGGATGTTTATGTAAAGAAAGAAATAATGTGACACAGGTTTCCATACCGCAAAATACATCATGTAACTCGGACAAAACTCGCATGCTAACAATGATTATATATACAAGAAAGAATAGACGCGCGAAGGCTGGATCGGGTTTCGGGTGTAATCATTTTATGAGTTATTGGTTATATGCTGTTTAGGGGTTATAAACATCAAATATTTGGTGACATGGATGAGACCTTGCATATAGATTATATGCGTTTTTTAATATATAAATAAACAAAGTTGCTTCTTTTCTTTCATACAAATTTGTTCATATTTCCTTTCTTTTTTATAGAAATCATCAAATACCACTCTCCTTCACATTTTATATATTCAATTCGCATACAAACACAGTCAAAAAATCAAAATGAGAAATTTTACCGCTATTTTTCTCGTGTCAATACTCTTATTTGCATTAGTTGCTCAACCAATTCTCGCTGCTGACAAAACCGACAAAAGTACAGCATCTACCACTGACAAAAGTTCAACATCACCTACTACTAGTAGTAAAGATGCTTCAAATAGCACTGGTAGTAAAGATGCTTCAAGTAGCAAAGGAGGAAAAAATGATACAACATCATCGGCCTCCAATTCCACAAACAGCAACGCTGGATCGTCGAATTCTAATGCCACATCAACCACCGTAACAAATTCTTCATCGTCGTCTTCGTCTTCAGATGGAAGTTCAACAGATTCTAGTGCAGTAACAAGTGCTACTATCAGTGGCACTAGTACTCCCTCCTCGTCCTCGTCTTCGTCTTCGTCTCATGCAATTGTTATTGGACATGATAACAGTTTCGCACTCTCTGTTGGATTTTTATTCGTGTTTGTTGCTAGTCTGTTTCAATTACTTTAATTCCTTCTAGATTTATAGACATTATTATTATTTAGCATTAATATTATATTAATACACACAATTCAGTGGTTTTTTTTAGATATTCTAACTGTATTTCTTAATTCGTACTATAAATAAAAATGTGGTGCTATATTAATTGCACACCCTTTTTTGTGAATTTTTAACAACTTTGGTTTTATGATCATGTCAGAATCTCGATAAAACGAATTGATATAACTACCGCTATATCCCGTTTAATTGTGCTTTATATACCGTACAAGCAAATTAACTTGAGAGTTATATTGGTTAGATATTTACAAAATTTCGCCCATTTTCGTATAAATTGGATAAAACAATGTTGTCTGCGTCACATTACACAACATGTTTACAAATACATGGTTCTTTGTTAAATTGGGTTTTTACTATGTAATAGATTTTTTTGACATTATGACAAAGTCAACCACATTCGAAAAATTCTGCGTTAATTAAGATTAAATTAGGTTTAGAACTAGGGCGAAGACTTCAAAATTTTTTATTAGTGCTTCAAGATAGTCTTCTCATTGATATATAATAGCAAAATTTTGTCTAGAAACTTTGATTATATTATTAACTTCTTAAACTTGATTTATTTCAATTCTTGTCTATTTTTTATTTCATCAAAGCTGTTCTTTTATAACTAATTATATTATCTACATTTGGATTTTTTCTTGGATATTATTATCAAATTCACAAAACATTTCTGAAGTTTTTCTAAATTTTTTTAATAAAACATTTCTGAAATAATTTTATTAAATAATTATTGATAGTAAAATATATAATTTTACTCATATTGTAAATTTAAATATAAACTATATATATATATATATATATATATATATATATATATTAATAATCAAAAAGAATATAATACTTGAATTTTTTATTAATTATAATTAGTAAAATATTTATTTTTTATTACATATAAAAGTTTTTAATTTTATTAACAAATATATTTTATTTTTAGATCAAAAAATAGCTAGAATTCTCTAGTTTAACATATATCTTTTTGAATTTTTTAATAGATAACTTGCTTTAATTATCTTTATTTGCAATTAAAAAAGTTATTCATTAAAAAATATATGTTAAATTAAAGAATTCTAGTTATTTTTTAATCTAAAAATAAAACTAATTATAATTAGTAAAAAATTCAAGCATTATATTATTATTTATATATATATTTTTTATAATATACTAATTTAAATATAAATATTAATAATATTATAAAAAATAATTATTTAATTATATATTTTTCTCTTTTTAACTTTATTTTAAAATTTAATTTTTTTCTTTTCTTATTTTAATATTATTCTGAAATTTGATTTTTTTATTTTAAATTTGCTTCATATTTATATTTATTATTTTTTTATAATAATTTAAAAAATAAATAATATTATTATTATTTAAAAATAATATAGCTGAATTATTAAAAATATATATTATAAATTATATATAATAAAATATTAATTTAGATAATATTATATTAATTAAATTAATATTATACTTAATATTTTACTAATTTATTTAATATAATATTTAATATTTTATTAATTAAGTTATATGATTAAATATAAATTAGTATAATATAATTTATTATATAAGAAATCTTTATAATTATTAAATAAAATAGATTAGTTTTAATAAATAAAAATAAATAAAATTTAAAAAAGTTAATTAATATTTTAAAAATATAATTATTCTTTATTTTTAATTTATTTTATATTTAATCTTAACTTATTTAATTAATAAAAATTATTTTATATTATAATATTATTTATATTTTATAATTATAATTATTTATTTAACTAGTAAAAATATTATAATTTACTTATTATATATTTATTGTATATTTTATTAATATTAATAAAAAATTATAAAAATAAAAATATTAAATTTTACTTTATTTTATATCTTTATAATTAGTAAAATTTTACTAATAGATTTATAAATCTTGCTATTATTCTATTATTATTTTATCTTTATTTATATTTTTTAAAAAATTCTTTTTTTAAATAATATTTAATTTAATTTTCTCAAATAAATATAACTATTAATAATATTTTTTTAATATTTCAATAATTAAATATTATATTTAATTTATTTTTATTTATTTAATTAATAATAATAAATAAATTTTAAATAAATTTTTATAATTTTTTTATTATATTAATATTATTATCAAGTTAAAATTATATTCAAAATAATTTTTATAAGTTAATATAATATTTATATTTTTAAAAACTTAAAATTTTAAATAAAATTAAAAAATTTATAAATCTTAAACTAAAAATAAAATATATTATATTACTTAAATAAAATAAAAAATATATAAAATATATAATAATATTTTATTTATTATAATTTACTAACTAATATATTCAAATATTTTTAATATCTATTTTAATATTTAAAATAGTTAAATAAAAGAGATATTTTATTATAAATTATTAACTAATATATTTAAATATTTTTAATATCTATTTTAATATCTAAAATACTTAAGTAAAAGAAATATTTTATATTAATAAAAAATATATTTTATAAGTTATATTTCTAAAAAATTATTAAAAATTTATTTTTTCAAGAATTATTATAAATATAAATATAATATATATATTTATATTTTAATTAAATATAGTTTTTTATTATATATATTAAATTAATATAATTTTTTATTTTTATTTTTTTAATATTATTATTATTTTAAGTTTATATATATAGAAGTATTTTAAAATAGTAATAGTAACTATACTTATAGTAATTATTTACTTTTAATTTAAAATAATAAATTATCTTCTTAATAAGATAATTTATATAAGTTTTATTTCTAATAAAATTACTCTTTTAATAAAGCAAGAAGAAAATAAAAATAAG